CCCATTACTGCATGCACTACTCTGGACAGTTTACAAGTTAAAACTTATAAATCTTGAAGACCTCAGATGGCCATACATATAATATGGCAATTAAAAAGAAACATTGTTTAAAAAAAAGGAAAAGAAAAAAAAGAAAATACAAATAAAATATTAATATTAAAATTGACAGCGTTTGGAAGACTCCATTGTCAAAGGCAGCCTTGAATAGTTCTGATTTTAACAGTTTCCTGAACATAAGGAGAGAAGGAACCTGAGGTAATTCTGCTGGTAACCTGTTTCAGAGAATGGGGCCACGCCAATAAAACTCCATTCCTTGTCTTCACCTTTCTGGCCCCCCTCAGTGTGGCCACATTTAGCATCATGGATTGAGAAGAGCAAGTAAAATGAGTAGCTGATATCTGAGGAGAGACATTCTGACAAGTAGTGAGGTCCTAAACCATTAAACTACCAAGCAATACTTACTTTTTGTTACTTTTGAGAAAAACCTGTGAACATCCCAAGCTGTTGGTCTCTGGTAAGGTGACATAGTTATGTCCTTTATTATTAGAAAACGGCTCTGGTGGCCTGTGACTGGAGCAGGGAGTGTGCTTCATTCCGCAGCAGAAGAATAAACCTCCACATGGGCCATAATGCATCAGGAGGGAAAGGAATTAATTATAAGTAGCTAATTATTTATTTATCACCTGGCAGGATGTCTCAGAGAGTTAGGTATCTGGCTGCAGAGCCTGAGTTTAGGGGTTCAGTTCCCTTCTGTGCCTCCAGAAGAAAGGGCCAGTGTATGAGGTCTTGAGCAAAGCTGCTCAGAATGCCTCTGAAAGAAGCAGATGGTAAACTACTTCCGAGTACCCTCTATCTACTCTGGAAAGGGTCACCATTAGTCAGAACTGATTTGACAACACACAATCGTTATTATTTATGACCAGTTCCTTCCAAGTTGTGCCTAAGATGATTGCTGCAAAGGTCAGGAAGTAGTTTCAACACTTCTCTGGACATTTAATCAAAGTACAGTATTATGTTTGGATGGTAGGCAAAGACTGTATCTTGTTAATCTTCTAGCTCAATAGTTCCCAACCTTTGGTAGCCCCGCTGTTCTTGGACTGCAATTCCTAGAAACCCCAGCCAGCACAGCTAGTGGTGAAGGCTTCTGGGAATTGCAGTTCAAGAACACCTGGGTTACCCAAGGCTGGGACCCTCTGTTCTAGCTCATTCAGCTATAATATTTAACTTTCATAGCTGGCTATTATAGCACTCACCTTGTAAATGTTTTCCTCCTGCTGCTAGCTTCCTCTTAAACCATGACACAGACACTAGGTCATGGATGTAATTATTTGCTATACCGGAGTTAAAGCAGGCAGTTTCTTCTGATGCAATGTGGTGTCATCAGCATAAAACTATGCTGTGGGATGAGAACTTACTATATTTATTATATGTTCATTATTGATGCCATTTAATTATAATTAAATTACAATTAATAATTTATGTATCTGTATTACATACATTGTTTATTAAGTATTTCCAGTACTTCCATATTTAGTTGACAGTCGCCTCAGGTTGCCAAAGTGATATTCAGAGTACAGTAAAACAAAGTGATATCCAGAGTAAAACCAAATTACAGTAAAATCAATCTTCAGAATATTGAAATATCTGCATAAAGTCAACAGGAAATGAATTTTCAGATTGTTTAAACTACAAATCTCATAATTCCCCATTCTGGGTGTTCCACCTGATGGACCCACACCTATGAACACCTAAGTGTGGCTCGTCTGGAGAAAGGCCTAGGTGGGAAGGCTTTGAGCCTAAGCATAGGCTTAGCTTCTTGTTCAGAAAGGAAGCTTCCAGCTAACAATGGGGCAGTTTATGCATAGGAAGCAGAGGCAAAGCTAGGTCTGTGCTAAGCCCTAAACCTTTCCCAGCTAGGCTTTTTCTCCAGGTAAGCCACGTTCAGGTGACTAAGGTGTGGTTCTATCAGGTGGAACACACAGAATGTAGAACTATGGGATTCATCGTTCAAAGAAATCTGAAAATCTCATGCTGATAAACCATCAGATTTGCTGCTAGCCTCTGAGAGTGACTTCATACTGGACAAACTTTCCTGAGAAGGAATAGTGGCTGTTGCCCATTAAGTTTGAGAGGGCCTGGGGGCAAAAAGTAAACAATAGGTGGAGTCCATTAGAATATTTATTCCTACATGGCTTTAAGTACACTTAAAACTACATCATATCACTATCCTTTTTCCTGAACTGAAGAAAACTTGCTCTGGAATTCTTGTACTGCAGAGTTATAAATATCCCCAAAATCAACTAGTCCAACACTCACTTAGCTGAGGCAGCAAAACTCACCACAGGAGGCCCCTTCTGGATGCAACCACACAGAACTCCAAGCCCTTCTACCGCTGCTCCTGATAGTCTACTAATAATGGTGATCTCCAAATGTGTATGGATTGCAGTCCCATAATTCTGCACTCTGGACTATGATGGCTGTGGATTATGGGAGCTGTAGGTGCAAAATTTCTGGTCAACAGTTGTTCACCCCAAGGTTTTGTGGACTTCTTACAAGAGAATGTATGAAAACTTTTGTTGTTGTTTAATTGTTAAGTTGTGTCCGACTCTTCGTGACCTCATGGACCAGAGCACGCTAGGCCCTCCTCTCTTCCACTGCATCCCGGAGTTCTGTCAAATTCATGTTGTTAGCTTCGGTGACAACTGTCCAACCATCTCGTCCTCTGTCGTCACCTTCTCCTCTTGCCTTCACATTTTCCAGACATCAGGGTCTTTTCCAGGGAGTTTTCTCTTCTCATGAGATGGACAAACTATTGGACCCTCAGCTTCAGGATCTGTCCTTCCAGTGAGCACTCAGTTGATTTCCTTCAGAATGGACAGGTTTGTTCTCTTTGCAGTCCAAGGGACTCTCAAGAGTCTCCTCCAGCACCATAATTCAAAAGCACCAATTCTTTGGCGGTCAGCCTTCTTTATGGTCTAGCTCTCAGTTGGGTTTTTTTGTTATGAGTATTTTGTTGTGATAAGAGGGGGGAGATATGATCTGTCATTGTGATTGATGGGTATTGTTGGCTGGTCTTGTGTACAGTGATCACCAGTCCTTGTGGCTGGGTAGAGTTCATTGACCTTTTGCAGGCTGTATTTTTCAGTGCTGGGACAAAATACAACAAATGTTACAGTCAGCAAAGGACAAAAGAAATTGCCTCACCACTGCAGGAGTATACTGGGTACCTTGCAGTTGTGGTCAGGTACAGTGGTGCCTTGATTTACAACCATAATCCATTCCAGAAGATGGACGTAACTCGAAATGGTTGCAAGCACCATTTCCTTAGGAATGCATTGAAATGCAATTAATTCGTTCCAGCTGAAGGAAAAAAATCACAAAAATTACTGCAAGATTAATTGGAAACACGATTAATCCCTTCTGGCCGAAGCGGGGGGAGAAAAGCAATCAAGCGTGCAAGACCCATTGGAAATGCACAGAAAACAAAGAGAGCCAAAAAAAAACCCCGACCCATCAGAAATGGGGAAAAAACCCAACAAACAACCCCCCAAGACCCATCACAGCACAGAAACATAACTCCCCCAGCCCAAAACCATGTTGCAAAAACACCCAGAACAATTTTTAAAAAGCAGAAAACAGCACCTTACCTTACCAGGCAGCCCAAAGCCTCCCTGCAAACACACACACATGCTCACTTAGAAGCAGAAGCGAGGCAGTCCCAAGCCTCCTGCAACACACACTCTCTAACTGATGGAGCAAAAGAGCTACAGTGGTGCCTCGACTTATGAACTTTCCTAACCTACAGTTAGAATTTTTTTTATTTCCCGCCTTTTTCCCATGCCTTTTTCTGTTCATAAGTGGAAGCTCCGGTTGGAGTAATTTTGTGGCCAGAGCTGGTTGTAACTTGAAATGGTCATAACTAGGGATGTTTGTAAGTCGAGGCACCACTGTATATATTGGGACCACAGAATGTAGCATCCAAACCAGAATCAAAGAACATGAAACAGACTAAAACAACTGTAAAATCTGGCTGTAGCTGAACATGCCCTGAAACAAGCTGGTCATGAAATCCCATTTTTAAACACAGAAGTACTGGACTACACCAGCAATCATTATGTTAGACTACACAAGGAAGCCATTGAAATGCACAAACACCAGCAGAGCTTCAACAAAAAAGGAGAAAGTCTAAAAATCAACAAAGCCTAGCCCCCAGCACTGAAAAATACAGCCTGCAAAAAGGTTGATGAACTCTGCCCAGACACAAGGACCGGTGATCCACTGCACACAAAAGACCAGCCAACGACAGTCATCAATCACAGTGACAGTCTCCCCCCCTTATCACAACAAAACACCCATAAAAAAAAACCTGATCACAGGAAACACTCAATCTCCTGAAAAGAACAAAAACCCCTTATCCCACAGCTACAAATAGTACTCAACAATCCCACACACTATTACCAGAACACAGATGGAATTCTAGCTCTTGTCCTCTGAAGATGCCAGCCACAGAGACTGGTGAAACGTTAGGAAGAAAAACGTCCAGAACTCGGCCAAACAGCCTGAAAAACCCACAACAATCATTACAAATGGCTATATTCATCTGCAACATAAAACCCTGTTAAAATCAAATTTACTGGACTATACAAGACCATAGCCAAAGAAATGATGGACTGCCTCTTTCTGCAAATGTCTGTAATGAATACAAGCTACTCTAATTATCCCTAGTTATCTTAAGCTAGTAAATCCAACAATGTATTATTTTTACCGAGCTCATCATGAAGTAATGCTCCCAACTAATTTAAGTGAAATCTTTGTATGAATTCCTCCTCAGAAAGTGCACCTGAGGCTATAGCTATGCTACATGCATAGCCACGTGACACTTGCGATATTTTGCAGTATACTTGCAGTGGTGAACAATATAAAAAAATGAAACTGTTTACAGATTACCATTATGGGACTTTGCAGGACAAAACGTGCAGCTGTTAAACTGAAAAGCGGTTTAACAAATTTATAAAATGTTGCTTGCAAATAAGCCCAAGGCGTTCAGTTATTAAGCTTTGAATTACTTGGATACATAGTTGCTGGGCCAAAATGTTATTCTTTTTCTCCCTCCTGCCACGTTTATGCTGAGCTACAGTATTTGTATTTGATCTTCAATAAACAGTTCAAATGCATATCGTTCCCGGATGGATGCTACTTAGGGTCTCAGTGCATTCTTCGCACCCTGCACCAGCGCTACTTTCTCTTGATTTGATCGTGTAATCATAATAACGATGGGTGATGCTAGTAGAACGTTCAATACTTTTGCAAATGAAAATCGCTTAGGAAGTAAATACTCTAAACGAAGCGATTAAATGCAGAGCCAGGAAAAGAGGAACGAGGAACCATCCCTTGATATGTACAGGGTGATATAGAGAGATACTGTATAGGTATTGGTTAACTGAAGGCAGAGCTTCAGCTTCGACGGGGGGGGGCAGTTTTCACATGCGGCCAGTCCCCTCCCTTACCGTTACGCACAGTGTCTCTACTAACGAGCAAGTGAGCCACTCTGGGAGAAGATAAGGGGGTGGGGAACGCGGTGGCTGAAGTGCCGCCCCCCGGTCCTCTCCCCTCCGCACATTCGCTCCGACTATTGTGACGTCACGGCGTTCTAAAACAGAACAGAGAAAACAATCGGCATTGAGAAAAATAGATACACTCCGGTCCTATTTAAAGGGTGAGCGCGGCACACCACGGCGTCCGCTCCAGCTATATAAACAAAAGGCGAAAGACTGCGGGGAGAAGCCTCTTCGGCAAACATGGTGTCGCCGGTGACAGTGGTGAGTCTAGTGCATTTAGGGTGGGTTTTAATTTTTTTCTTTCTAAGGACATGTGAGCCGACTTTTATGATCGCCGCAGGAGCCTTGTTTTGACAGACAAGAGGATCCTGCCTCGGCTCATAATCCTTTCTCCATTGTGTGCTCTGGCAGCTAGAATCGGTGTTTTTTTTTTTTTACCCTTCCCTGTCGGAGAATCTCTTTGTACTTCCACCTCCTGCTCTTCGTTGTTTTTCTCCCCGTTCACATTTGCTGCCAGAAAAATGTGGCGGCGATGGCGGGCGGGCCAGGAGGTACTAGAAGGGGGGAAAGAGACATCGTCCC